TGATTTTCCCATTAAAACCTCCATTTATAAGGGATTTTCCATGGCTATGTTAGTCATAACCAGATGGTACCCCCCTAGTAAACTAACATAGACCCTGAAAATCATTATTTTCTAATGGAAATGAATCTTCCAACCCCTGTCTGCCAGGGTCTATGTTAATATAACAGAGGGTAAATCCATGGATTTGTGGAAAATGACACATTTATAGATGATTTTCCCATTAAAACCTCCGTTTATAAGGGATTTTCCATGGCTATGTTAGTCATAACCAGGTGGTACCCCCCTAGTAAACTAACATAGACCCTGAAAATCACTATTTTTTAACGGACATGAATCTTCCAGCACCTGTCTGCCAGGGTCTATGCTAATATACCAGAGGGTAAATCCATGGATTTGTGGAAAATGGCCAATTTATAGATGATTTTCCCATTAAAACTTCCATTGATAAGGGATTTTCCATGGCTATGTTAGTCATAACCAAATGGTACCCCCTAGTAAACTAACCTAGACCCTGAAAATCACTATTTTTTAATGGACATGAATCTTCCAACCCCTGTCTGCCAGGGTCTATGTTAATATACCAGAGGGTAAATCCATGGATTTGTGGAAAATGGCCCATTTATAAACTAACATAGCAATGAAGACCTTTAGAGATTTTGTCTCAGATTCCGTTGGAGAATCAGGCAATTAACATAGACCTGCGTCAAAATGCTTCAAAAACCAAATTATCCTAACATGACTTTGTTCTGCACGGAACTTTGGTGTACTAACATAGCACATGTGTGATGGTTGGTTCAAAAAGGTATCCTAACATAGGTTTTTGAGATGTTTGTTGTAAATGCTGTCAATGAAGACTTTTAGAGGTTTTGTCTAAGATTTCGTTGTAATTAAGAATATTAACATAGACCTGTGTCAAAATGCTTCAAAATGCTTCAAAAACCAAGTTATCCTAACATGACTTTGTTTTGCACATATTCGTTTTCTAGGGCTAAGTTTATTTAACCTAGAGTAACATAACATAACATACATACATACATACACACATACACACACATACATACATACATACATACTTACATACATACATACATACATTACATACATACATACATACATACATATGTACGTACATACATACATACATCCATCCATCCATCCATCCACCCATCCATACATACATACATACCATTACATACATACATACATACGTACATACATACATACATCCATCCATCCATCCATCCATACATACATACCATTACATACATACATACATACCATTAACATACAATTACATACATACATATCATTACATACATACATACATACATACACACATACATACATACATACATTACGTACATACATACATTCCATACATACATACATTACATTACATTATATTGCGTTACATTACATTACATTACATTACGTACATTACATTACATTACATACATTACATACATTACATACATTACATGCATTAAATGCATTACATACATTACATGCATTACATACATTACATACATTACATACATACATTACATTACGTTACATACATTACATGCATTACATGCATGACATACATGACATACATGACATACAACACATACAGTACAAACATACATACATGCATACTTGCATACATACATACATACATACGTACGTACGTACGTACGAACATACATAACATACATAACATACATAACATACATAACATACATAACATACATACCATACATACATACAAACATACATACATACATACCTACATACCTACATACCTACATACCTACATACCTACATACCTACATACCTACATACCTACATACCTACATACCTACATACCTACATACATACAAAACATACATTACATACATTAAATACATTACATTCATTACATTCATTACATTCATTACATACATTACATACATTACATACATTACATTCATTAAATACATTACATACATTACATACATACCTGCATACATACCATTACATTACATTACATTACATACATTACATACATTGCATACATTACATTACATACATACATACATTATATTACATACATTCATACATACATAGATTACATACATACATACATACATATATACATGCATACATACATACATACATACAAACAAACATACATACATACATCCATCCATCCATCCATAGATACATACATACATTACATACATACATTACATACATACATTACATACATACATTACATACATTACATACATACATACATCCATACATCCATACATCCATACATCCATTCATACATTACATACATTACATACATTACATACATTACATACATTACATACATTACATACATTACATACATACCGTACATTACATTACATTACATTGCATTACATTACATTACATACATAACATAACATAACTTAACATAACATAACATTACATACATACATACATCGATACAGACACACAGACAGACAGACAGACAGACAGACATACATTACATACATACATACATACATACATACATACATACTTACACTACATTACATTACATTACGTTACGTTACATTACATTACATTACATTACGTTACATTACATTACATTACATACATACATACATTACATACATACACACATACATACATTACATGCATAACATACATAACATACATTACATACATACATTACATACATACATTACATACATACATACATACATACATACATTCCTTACATTGCATTACATTACATTACATTGCATTACATTACATTACATTCATACATACATACATACATACATACATACATTACATACATTACATACATTACATTACATACATCGCATACATACCGTACATTACATTACATTACATTGCATTGCATTTCATTACATACATAACAAAACATAACTTAACATAACATAACATAACATTACATACATACATACATAGATACAGACAGACAGACAGACAGACAGACAGACATACATACATTACATACATTACATACATTGCATACATTACATACATTACATACAGTACATACAGTACATACATTACATACATTACATACATACATTACATACATACATTCCATACATACATTACATACATACATTACATACATACATACATGCATATATACATACATCCATCCATCCATCCATCCATACATACATACATACATTACATACATTACATACATTACATACATTACAAACTTGACAAACTTTACATACTTTACATACTTTACATACTTTACATACTTTACATACTTTACATACATACATACGTACATACATACATACATACGTACATACATACATACATACATACCTACCTACCTGAGAAGGGGGGAGGAAAGCCAGCCCCTAGCCGGAATCATTTTGGTTCTGCAAAGAAATGTCGCGGTAGCACCCATTTTTGCCTGGGCTTCCTCTATTTTTGTTACTTCCAGCAACAAGAAGTCTTTTTAAAGCACATTTTCTATATATATATATTTATGACACAACTTGCCTGCATGTTCCTTTTTGTTCACACTTGTCCTTGCTTTCTCCTTCCTCGGTGTCACTCCTCATCCCCTTGCAAACTGTCTTGCTCCGAACCCCAACGGACGCTGCTCTCCGTTGAGCTTCGGATCCTTAGTTTTTTCAATATGCTTGCCTCTATGTTCCTAGCTTTTTCAAAGCTTTGCCTTTCCTCCATTTCATGCCTTTTTTTCAAGTTCCTGCGTTTGCCCACGGTTTTTCAAGAGTTTCCTTGCTGCAATTTCCTCATTTTCCCAACGGTTTCCCCAATTTTCCTTGGTTTTTCTAAGCTTGCCATTCATTTTTCCCGAATGCGTAGCAAGGGTTCCCGTTTCACTCTGGGGGCCTGGGGGCTGAGGGTGTGTTCGCTGGAGGTTGCGTTTACGTTCGCAACCGTTCACAACCGTCCGCAACCGTCCGCAACCGTTCGCGTGAGGGCCGTATGGCGGTGCCTATGGTAAGTTCTGCAGAAGGGGTCACTTTTGGAGGTTTCAAACGTGTCAGCTTCGTTTCGCGTGGCAGGTGTGGCACTTCGTGACTTTCAGACAATTTTTTAAACGTGTGGAAAATCGTTTTATGTGGCAGGCGCATTACTTTTGCGACGTTTTCAGAAGATGTGTTGCAGTTTTCGTGGTAGGCGCAGCACTTTGGACGTGTCCATATCGTCATTTTGCGTGGCAGGCGCAGCACTTTAGACGTGTCGTGTTGTGTGTTTTTTGCGAATCGCATTGTCAGGGCTGCGTCAAGTGGCGACAAAGTGTAGATTCCGTGGCAGACGTGGCATTTTGTGAGATGTGATGAAAATTGACAGAAGCCTCCCACGAAACATCGATTTTGAGGAAACGAAGTGTCAAAATTGGAGGAAGTCTCGCACGAAATGCTTGTTTTTCTGCGCCCACGTGTCTCGTCTCGAGTCTCTGGTTTTCCTGTGGCGTCGCCGTGTCTATGGGGGTGTGTGTGACAAAGTAGTGTGTGACAGATGGTGTGTGACAAAGTGGTGCGAAAGATGGTCTGTGAAACATGGTGTGTGAAAGATGGTGTGTGTGTGTGCGTGTGTGTGAAAGATGGTGTGTGACAAAGTGGTGTGTGAAAGATTGTGTAAAAGATGGTGTGTCAAAGTTAGCTCGGCATCACCCCTCATCCCCTTGCAAACCATCTTGCTCCGAACCCCAACGGACGCTGCTCACCGTTGAGCTTCGGATCCTTATTCTTTTCACTATGCTTGCCTCCATGTTCTACAATTTTTCCAGGGTTTCCTTCCTGCAATTTCCTCATTTTCCCAACGGTGTCCTCGATTTCCTTGGTTTTCCAAGCGGTTTTTCCAAGCTTGCCATTCATGTTTTCCTCCACGTTATAGTTTCTTCACAAGTTTCCTCCATTTTCCTATTTTCCTCCATTTTCTCCCTGTTTTTAACCGTTTTCCTTCATTTTCCTTGGTTTTTTCCTACCTTTTTCCTTCCGTTTGCAAGGGACCTAGGGAGAATCGAACCCCACCGTCACCAAATTGCCTAGTGGCACATGCCCCCCTAAAAATATCCAATTGGCCCCCCTAACCACCACCCAATATCGAGATTTTGGGCTCGCTGGGCAGCGTCCACCCCCCACACCCCCTATACTCACTTCGTTCGCGAAAACAACTTTGCCTAGCCTATCGGCTGGCTTTCGTAACATACATCCATGCATGCATGCATACATACATACATACATTACATACACATACACATATATACTATATACATATACACATATATACATATATACATGCATACATATTTTATATATACGTGCAGATATGTATATATACAGATACACACTTGTACAAATATATATACAAATGTACATATCTACAGAATATATATATATATATACGTGTGTGTGTGTGCCAAATGTTTCCAGCACTTTCAGGCGCTGAGATCCTGGCAATCGAACCACCCAAAACATCTCAGACAAGCCGAGGCTGCCGTCCACAAAGTTCTCCTCAGGACAAGGTACACACTGCTATTTTTTGCATCTTCACATATCCAATCTTGGACCAACGCCGCGGTCTCAAATACTTGTGTCAACGTTACGATATACTCCGTGGCCATGACCCTAACATAAACAAACCAGCGCAGCGTCCGAAACGGCCGTGTCCTGAATCAGCTCCTGAATCTTCTCTTGCGCTGACGGCGAATGCTTGGCGTTCTTAAACAAATCATACATGAAACGCCTCAGAAGGAGCCAGCGCCAGCTTGGAATGCGGCATGGAGAGCTAGCCAAGAACAGTAATCAAACCTCCCAGGATAAATCAAGAAACATGAACAAGTCAAGAACTTGATATAGACAGTGACTAAACGTTGGGCTTCCCAGAGGTTTCCACCAATTCAAGAAAGGCACTCAAACTCTTGCGGCTCCACGCGCTTCCCAGCTTCTAGCTTCAGGCTGAATTTTGAGCGGATCTTTGCCACCTAAGGAGCGAAGATGCCACGCAATATGCTTTCCGTAACCCATGATCCAATATCATGAATACCCTAATCGGCCTGAGCTGCTTGTAGAAAACAAAAAAAGAACGATGTAGAAAACTGTATGATACGCAACAAACTTTAAAAACTTGATGTAACAAACTTTATGTAACTTTCATGTTGGCTGAGCAATGCAGGAAGAGCAAGCCGCCTGCTGGTCAGAGAGCCCAGCACTTTGCCTCAACTTCTTGACCTTGGAGGCTTGGAGAGCTTCCATGGTCGTCCAAGGTCGTCCAAGCTCTCGAAGCTTGCTCCAAGGAATCCCATTAAAATTCTAAGAACATTGCAGAGAAAGATGGAGAAAGAGAATCATCTTTAGAATTAAACGAGAATTAAAGAGAAATAAAGAGACACTATTGAAGCACTGCACAATTACTATGGAGAAACACTGTGCTTCTGGTAAGCCAACAGGAGTTATGGTGCATCCTTGGTCTTGGCCATCAACTTCCAGCTTGTGTCTTTCCAACACATCTTGGCACCCAACTTGCGTTTCCTTAGGCGCCCGAGGGGATTTGGTATGCCATGTGGTGCCCGCTCTGCACTGCTTTGTGTCTAGGGAGCGTGGGACACATGCCCGCCTCTGAGCCTACGGATAGAACTCATGATTGACATTTCATGCAAATATGGAAGGAAACATATGTATATATCTAGTTCGATCTTGAATCATTCAGTTACAGTACACAAAGTGGGCGTGTGTGTGTGTGTCTCTGTGTGTGTGTTGGCATGTATATGTGCATGTATATGTGCATGTATTTGTTCATGCATGTGAATGTATACAGATACATTCTAGGATTCTAGGAGACACACCTGTGGAACATAAGGTCCATCGGAGTCCATCGGTGTCCAAGAATCGCGAAGGAACGAAAGAATGTTCAGGATTCCGTGAACATCTGTGTGACCGTCACCTGCACAGATCTGCGCAGCACATTGAAACACACCGTTCACTTCACGTCCACCTCGGAAAAGGAAGGAGAACCTAGTGCCGTTCACACGATTCAACAAACATTACAATTCAGACGATGCTTATAAACAATGGCTTCACACATCTCTACATGATACATGTGGTCGGAATGCGTGTGTCAATTTCTATGCTGTCTGATCATCATTGATGGAGTCTGATCAACTTGTTGGTGTTTTAATGGCGTTTTGTCAAGTTTTGTCCTACTGTAACCCGGATGAAACGCTGATTGATTCCGCAAGCCTGACGAATCTGCAGGTTTCTGAAGAGCCTCCGATAGCTCTAGAAGCGTGGGAGCGAACGGAGTTTTCAAAGAAAGAAACTCTTGAAATTCAGTCCCCTATCTGGAGAGCTTAGATATCCAATTGCCCGTGAAGACAACAAGGATATCACCACTTGTAGATCTGCTTGCATTGTTTCTGCTCCGCAACATGGCATATAAAGCCTATATGCCTTGACCACCACCAACGGAGCGTGCACTCCCACCCGAACACTTCATGTGTCATCAATGACGATGCAAAGCACTAACTTCTGAAACAGATGGCCTGAGCTAGGATGTTCGGAGCCGGTGAATATCCGATCTTGTTGAGCATGGTTTTCATGTCAGCTTCTGGGACCATAGGGCCTGACACGAATTGCAAGTGCAGCTATTGCCTCACTTGTTGCATTGTGTTACCATCCCTTAAGCTCTGATCAAATCAGTGAAACCAGCAGCCTGCAGTTTCCCGGTTTAATGGCGGTATTTTGACCGTCCATCATTGTTTGATGAAAAGCCATATTTGACGTATTGTTGGGTTCAGCCCCAGGCATGTGCAGAGTTGAAGTTGGATCACTTTGCAGAAGTTTTAAAGAATGTAGTGCTGCACATATACATATACAAATACATACACATATACATATATGTACATATAATAAATATACATTATTGTACATTATATAGGGAATAGAAAGCATGTACAAAGACAAATGCACATACATATTTTATATATGTACACATATAGATGCACATGCACTTGCAAATGGGCACATGTGGGTGCGAGCCGGTCCGCACATTGCAATGGCTGACCAAAAAAGTTCTACATTTGAAAAATGTGCAAGTGTGCATGTATGTGTATGTGTGTGTATTGTATATGTATGTGCATGTGGCCTCTGTACCGCCAGCTCATACATCAAAAACATGTGTATATGATGTCTGTATGTATGTCTGTATGTATGTATGTATGTATGTAATGTAATGTAATGTAATGTAATGTAATGTATGTATGTATGTCTGTCTGCCTGCCTGCCTGCCTGCCTCCCTGCCTCCCTGCCTGCCTGCCTGCCTGCCTGTCTGTCTGTCTGTCTGTCTGTCTGTCTCTCTCTGTCTGTCTCAGTCTGTCTGTATGTATGTATGTATGTATGCGTGTATGTGGGTATGTATGTATGTCTGTATGTCTGTATGTCTGTATGTCTGTATAGATGTATAGATGTATAGATGTGTAGATGTGTAGATGCCTAGATGTCTAGATGTGTAGATGTCTAGATGTCTAGATGTCTAAATGTCTAGATGTATGCATGTATAGATGTATAGATGTATAGATGTATAGATGTATAGATGTGTAGATGTGTAGATGTGTAGATGTGTAGATGTGTAGATGGGTAGATGCGTAGATGCGTAGATGTGTAGATGTCTAGATGTCTAGATGTCTAAATGTCTAGATGTATGCATGTATAGATGTATAGATGTATAGATGTATAGATGTATAGATGTATAGATGTGTAGATGTGTAGATGTGTAGATGTGTAGATGTGTAGATGGGTAGATGCGTAGATGCGTAGATGTGTAGATGTGTAGATGTATAGATGCATAGAGGAATAGATGTATAGATGTATAGATGTGTAGATGAGTATAGATGTGTAGATGTGTAGATGTGTAGATGTGTCGATGTATGGATATATAGATGTATAGATGGATAGATGTATAGGTGTATAGATGTATAGATGTATAGATGTGTAGATGTGTAGATGTGTAGATGTATCGATGTATCGATGTATGGATGTATAGATGGATAGATGGATAGATGGATTGATGTATAGATGTATAGGTACATGGGTACATGTGTGTGTGTGTGCGCGTATTCATTGTAGACGCCATCGTTGCTTGACGAATGAGACCCTCATCCCCTTGGCACCTGCGTTGGAATGCTGTAGCTTGGCCAGCAGAATCTGCGCAGCTGAGGTCTCCTGCGACAGAGAGATAATTAATCAAATTGTGTAGGGTACCCTAGGAGAGACATGGAGGGAGAGACCAATCATGGAATGAAGATGAAAACTAACTTAAGTTTATCAGTGACCTAATGATCCTAATAAATGGGAGAGAGTGCGCAAGAAAGCATTTCACGCCGAAGGTTGCTGAACCTTCGGATGATGCCAGTGAAGCAAATCACGAAACCGACTTGTCTTGCATCACTTGTGAAAAGAAATTGACAAAGAACTCTGGATCTGGGGGAAGTTCACCTCTAGCCGCTAGCCTTATGATTCAGAGGATTCAGATGCGATGAGTTGGAGCACTGACTCTTTACAGGCGTGGCGTCTAGAATTGCGATGAATTGCATAAATTCGTCGAAGCTGATCACATCCGAATCCGAACAAGTGTTCTTCTTCGTGCTGACACAGGGAGCAGCACATCCAAATAATCATGCTATCGCATCTATCACACTACTGCGATTTTCTGAATTTTTGCGCATCCACCTTTTCTGTCAGCGTTCTGATTGAACAAGCACGGCACCTCATCCGGCAGACCCTAGTTGAGTGGATAATGCGGAGAGGCAGGCAGCAACCGTAATGGCATGCCTGCTTAAAATCACCACTCAAGCGGTGTGAAGTGAAGATCCTCAAAGAGGCAGGAAAAAAGAACATGTGTGATATTAGATAAATAATTTATAATATATATATATATTATACATATATATATGTGTGTGTGTGTTTATATATATATAGTTATAGACTACTGTAAGCAAAAGGATTCTGGAAACAAAAGACGCCCACGCATCCACAGTTTTTGAATACATAACTAGTCTTGATAGTCTCTATATATATATATACCATATACGTGCATGTGAAATACTGAAATATACTGAAATACTATGAAATGCTCATCTGCTAGACCTTCGTCCTGAACTTGCTCTGAGGCACCTCACTACATCTCAGTACAGCTCACTACGGCTTAGAGCTTTCAGCTGTCGCAGGCTGTCATAGTTCATCCATCGGTGTTCGCAGTCCCTGATTTTCGATTGCATGTAGCAGCTCTGGAGTGCAAGCTGCCGGATGCTTCAGCTGAGCCTTCGCAAATGCACGGGGAGACAAAGACCAAGATACATCAAGCATCATGAAATGGGCCCCAAAAACCATGGATGCACCTTTGACACTGGTTTCAAAAGTAGCGTCTTTTAGCTGTTCAGTCTCATGGCCCTTTGATCAGGTTTCATAGTAGTGCCATAGGTGCCTCGTACGCACACCGGCTGGGTTCTGTAACCTCTAGCAACTCTTCGTTGCCGCAGCGGAACTTCACCGTGAGGCTGCGCTCCTCAAAACATCCCAGATGTAGCGGGCTGAAAAGAGCGCAAGACTGCGCAAAAAAAATCCACAAAAAAAAACAGAGATGCCAAGATACACCAAAATAGACTAGGAGATGAGGAGAGTCAGGCAAGAAGTGAAGTCGTGTGAAATCTCTTGGGTCTCAAAATCGATGGAGACCAAACATGCAATTCGACAGGTTAGGGAAGACTCCTTGCAAAGACCCTGCTTCCAAGTGGCTGGACCTCCAGGACAGTACTGGCCACCTTCAAAAGTCCCCACTAAAGATCCCCCTGATGCGGTCGATGATGACCATCCTTTCCAATGTCCAATCGAGATGTGGTCCTGTTGCTGTGCCACATTTGATTGTGGAGAAAATAAGAATGGAACCTTGTGCTGCCACGCGGAGGACCCAGTGAGATGCAGTAGTCTCGCAACATGCTGTGCATGCACTACTGCCATGACAGCCTCAAAAAGATACATTCCTGTGCAGTTCAGCCTCTGAGATCAACATTACATCAGTCGCAACTTTTGTAGACTGAACCCCGCGCCGAACTTCACCTAACCTGAAATGCCCTGTGAATCTTGAGGTCAGTCCTGCTTTGCATCCTTGAAAAAGCCTTGGGGCGGAAATCAATTGATCCCATCGTACACTCGTATCAGATATCCAGCCAGCGGCTAACGGCTAAAGAACCCACGCGGCGAGCAAACCAAAATTTACGTCGGTATTCAGAGTGATCAAGTGCGGTTGGGGTTGGGGTTGGGGGTGGGGTGGGGCGCCACTAACGTTCATGTTCACTTGCACACACAGGCACTGACCAGTGATCATGCGGGGTTGGGGTTGGGTTTGAGTGGGGTGCCAATAACGTTCATGTTCTCTTTTCCACACAAGCACTGACCAGTGATCATGTGGGGTTGGGGTTGGGGTGGGGTGGGTGCCAATAACGTTCATGTTCTCTTTTCCACACAAGCACTGACCAGTGATCATGTGTTCACTTGCACACACAGGCACTGACCAGTGATCATGTGGGGTTGGGGTTGGGGTTGGGGCTGGGTGGAGTTCCAATAACGTTCATGTTCACTTGCACACACAAGCACTGACCAGTGATCATGTGTTCACTTGCACACACAGGCACTTTCCAGTGATCATGTGGGGTCGGGGTTGGGGTTGGGGTGCCAATAACGTTCATGTTCACTTGCACACACAGGCATAACGTTCATGTTCTCTTTTCCACACAAGCACTGACCAGTGATCATGTGGGGTTGGGGTTGGGGTGGGGTGGGGTGCCAATAACGTTCATGTTCTCTCTTCCACACAAGCACTGACCAGTGATCATGTGTAACTGTCAAGAGAATAGCGTGTATAGACGAGTTGATTCTCGCGTGCACAGACGAGGCACCAACCTCTGTCAAGTCAAGTGCCAAAAATCATGCGGTCCACCCGGTCCACTGCAACATACAAAAGGCCAACATGGAAGATGGGCTTTGGTTGTAAGCTGCACGGGCACAAGACTACACAAGTTTCACTTCTTGCAGTTCCAAGTCACAGATCTTGTATTTGTAATCACCAATGCTTTTCTCAATGCAGCGATCGTTCAAACCAGAAAATGCCAACTCCTGCTCATCCTCTCCAGACTTTGATTTTTCTTCCTTGGCCCGTTCTGCTTCAAGATTTTCAAGCTCTCTCAAGTTTCAGGCCGTTGTGTACTTACATAACCCATCGCAAGTGATGAAACCACCGGCACCTAGACCTAAGCCTCTGTGCGGGGTACTAGTTACTAGCCCGTGCCTGAGAAAAAACCTCCCCAGCCCACGCAAATGGCCAACAGGCACGACCAATAATGAAAAATCAATTGGACTATATGTTTCTTTATGTTTCTTGCTATGGCTCCAGCTCCGCAATCCTGACTTTGTCATGTCTCATCTGTTTCTTCGCCGCATTGTGCAGCTCCTTTGCCTTTTCTAAGGCCTTCTCTGCAGGAGTTTTGTTGCCAAAGACCCAGCCCTTGAGCGAGTTCCAAACATCTGTTACCTTTGCCTTGAGCCGCATCAAGCCCGACTCCTCCTCTTCATCAGGCACTGCAGTGTGCTCTAGGACGCTTGCGGCCCCATCAGGCTGTGCATCTTGGGAGTCAGCCTCCAAAACTTTTTCTGCACCATCCATCCACTTGCTGTACTCAGAGACCACCTGTTTGTCTCCTGACTCATCTTCTGCTTTATCTTCCAACACTTTGTCCGCGCCATCCATCCATTTGCTGTATTCCGACACCACTAGCTTCTCTGCATCTGCTGTGTTTTTCACCGTCTCAAGTGCAGCCGAAGTTGGGCCCGGGGCATCTGAAACTCGTGGAGGCTCCTGTGGAGCCTCCTGTGGGGCCTCCTGTGGAGCCTCCTGTGGAGCCTCAGCAGGCTCGGTGCCGTTGGCAGAGGCAAGGCGCTTTTCCTCCTCAACAGCAGCCTCCGCTGCTGCAAGGGCTTCTCGCGCTTTCTCCTCCTCAGCCTCTACAATTGGCAACTTCTCTCGTAATTTCTGCAGCTCCTCACAGCCATCGCACAAGGACGAATGCTTAACCGGCTCTTGGACAAAAGAAAATGTAAATTATTGCCAGTATAACAAGATGTGCCAACTGGATCCAGAATGACACTCCAGGAGTCAGACTCATTTATCACTTTCCAGGGGCGCTAACCTCTAAGCCATGCCATGCAGAGCCATGCCGGGCTACGCCGGGATATGCCGATGCAGAGCCCTGTCCTGGTCCGAGGCCACCCGCTCTGCCTTGGCTTTGCCAATCAGCGCGGACCTCTGCCTTGACGCAAGTTCGGTTTCATGCTTTTTCAAGTCTGCAATGATGTGGAATGCAAGATAAGATACTGCAAGATCATGACATTCATGACATTCATGACCTCACACATCCTCTTTAGACCCCTTTACGCCACCCTACTTCCAAGACAGGCAGAACCTGCTCGAAGACAGCAAACCTGGTCGCAAAACTTGTAAATGGAAACAAGTTCGTCAAATGTTTAAGCCGTGGTCATCCTACTATCTGCTGCAAGTCGCACTTCCGCATCCAAGGCGCTTTATTCCGGAGCGAAGCTCCGAAATCTGTCTGTCCCTTTGTCGCCGCAGTGTACGGCCCTCTTCTGCGCAGGTGTTGACACAACTTCGGTGACCCTGGGTGCAGGACATCTGTTACAAGTCTAAAGAGCTGGCCACGGAGTCATTCTGAAAGCCCTCTTTGTCCAGCCCAACCTTCCACTTGCAGTACTTTTGACTTGGACTCGTAGTGTTTTAGTCATGTTTAAATATATAGCCAGTTTAGTCAGTTGAGTCTAAATCCAACGAGATCTTGCCGTTATAATCGTTATATTTGCACCACGCTGCTCGCTGCTCCGCTGCCCATTCATCGCTTCCATCACAGCAATCACAAACTCCATCATTCACTCGGGAGGTGTAAATTAGAGCTGCATCACTTTGCACGTTTGCACCTCAAGTAAAGAGAGTGCAAAGCTGTCGGAAACTTGCAGGATTGGGACAGGGCTCAGACAAAGCATACAAAAGCAACATCAATATAGCGAGCTTTACCATCCTCAACTGTTTGGCTGCAGACTCCAAGTCACATTTAGCTGGGTGCCCACACAGTAGAAGAGCGTTTCGCTCTGCCCGGCGCATGCATCCGTACCTGGCTCATCACTGCCATCCGCGCAGTCACAGAAGTCGTCGTTGACCACGCTGGGTGGCATTGCCAAGGCATCGGCTGCGCCTCAGAGACCAAAGCCCAGATCGCACGATCACGGCACGCGCCAAAGTGTCACTGTGCATCTCTCTCCCGTCTCTCCCTATTCGCCCTAGACCAACCTAGCCCTAGGATCAATCAGGCCCATGCGGTTTGCAACTAGCGAATGCAGGCCATGATGCTGATGTCATGATGCCTGGTAAAAGGCTATTTGCGTGGATCAGAAGCCAGTGCAAATGCAATGGCACCATATGATTACAGTACGGGTGATAACATTGAACGAGCGGCAGCAATGTAGGGTTTTCCAGCACCGACAACAAAGCACTGCAGGTCGTGCAATTACCCTTGCTTCCCCACACGGACACACATCATGAAACTCCACAGGGCGTCACATCTATCCTGAAAATGACAGCTTACTTCTCTACACTACTCTAGGATCGTCTGCAGAACACTACTCTTTGATTGCTGGCTATGCAGACGCTACTTCAATTGCCATTTGACCAATTAACTGCCACGCACTCCACAATTTGATTCTACGTCAAGCTTTGAGCCCTGCCAACTTGGCAACGTCCTCCGTCTCCCACGAAGCTCAGTCGAGCAACTAAAGCATCTAAACTCGTCAGATCCATATTTGGCCTGCGCACGAGTCAGCAAACATATGCAAACATTAGAACACCGAAAGGAACGTCGCGGCATGGCAAGGCCACAAGAACAAATCTGGGCGTCCAACCTGCTCGTTGGGTGCTACACCACGAACTTCACTGGCACTGGCAAGCGCTGGGGCCAGTGGGCCCAGTGGGACCAGTGCCAGTGGGACCCATCGCCCCAAGTGACTCATGGTGAGCCAGAACCAAAGCGCTGCGGAGGATCTGGATGATCTATACCATTCTATACCTAGGGAGCAGCATGTGACATGTGACTCTGTAGATGTAGCATGTCGAGTTCCTGACCAACTAACCGAATCTTGGGGTGCAGTGGGTCGTGAGCCTGCCTTACCGCAACAGCAGCCGAAACAGAAACCTATACTGTCCTCTTCACGAAGGTGGCGCACCAGTTTCAGGAATTCGCCCTGGCACAACGTATGGCACTAGCATCTAATGATTCTAATGGCATCCAACGACATCCAACAGCATCCAACAGCATCCAACAGCATCCAACGGCATGCAACGGCATCCAACCGGATGCCCAACGCTTGATTGGGCTTTCATGTCTTTCACTTGTACCTGAGACAATGTTTGTCCAATCCTGGGCTTATATTGAGTCCTGTTTGCAATCTCGTGCAATCTATGAGAAACCTTGAACTGTCTGGCAGCGTGGGCCTGATGGATAGCACCTGGCGAAAGCACACCAAATTATACAAGATTCAAATAGACACAGACTTTGCAACTTGAGATGGATTTCTCCAACGGTACAAACTTCCCTAATGATATCAGCCGTGAATTTAAACTCCTCACAGTGCAGCCCAAATTTGGACCTAGAGAAACCCCTGCCAAACTGCTGCACCGTGGTGAGAATTGGAGGTTCTTGACATGCTGTTATATAGATTTTTCTTCTGTCCTGAAGTATGATATGCCGGCCAAACCAACAGGTGTTGGGCTCCCCAACCACTCTTGTCCAAATCAACTCGACACCACAGCTGCCGTCGACGCTGAGATGACAAAGGATAGCCCAACCTCTTTTGGCATGGCAAGCATCCAAGGTGTAAAAAAGAACGGCAAACACGCATACCTCGTTGGATCTTGGGCATTTGTGGTTGGCCTGCTGTGCATCTTGCCTGTGCAATTTCTTGTGGAACAAGTTCATCCCGCTCCCCACCCAAGCTCCAGCTGAGAAGAATCCGGCGCCAAGCCGAGAGTCCTTCAACCCTTCCCAGGATTTCCCAGGTACCCGGGCCAACCGAGAGCTCGGGTCAGCTCGAACTCTCTCAATTCGTCACGTCCCTGCACATTGCGTGTTGGTAAGGAACACGAACAAACATGAGAAACCTTTTCGCCCACCGAACCTGCTGAGGCCAGGATGTGCTTATGGGCTACCGTTTTTGCACTTTGGATGTTGTAGGCTCAAAATTTCATACCCAGTGTCGATGATGGGATGCAATGAGAACATGTCAGAATTCGTGTCTGCGAAGCTCTCGACAATGTAGCGAACTGAACAGGACGCGCTGGGCCTTGGAACAGAACTTCCGGAAGACGGATTTCAGATTTTGTGCCTGCAACAAGGAGGGGTGTAAGCATCAATCAAAAGTCCACACAGTCCACCAAAACAACTCTAACAAATAGGTAGGAAGGAAATATCGATGTCGTTGATGCACTCCGATGCATCCTTCCTTTGGGAAATGAAGGAGGTTTTCGGCTTGTCAACGCATGTCTTTCCAAGGTGGTGATGCTGCGGAAGAAAGAACCTGTTGACCACATCTGCGACCCCACGCCTCCACCCCATTACCTTGTATCTGCTCGCGACAATGCTAGCACTGAGTTTGTATGAAGAGGATGTCCCACAATGTATACATACAAAGAGAGAAACAGAGAGGGAAAAAAAAATGTACACTGAATGTATGCCGGCATATTCGCGGAGATGTATGAACATACCTGTATATACATGTATGTGTATATAAAAATATAAATATATATATATATATATCTGTGTGTGTGTCTGTCTGTCTGTCTGTCTGTCTGTTTGTCTGTCTGTCTGTGTCTGTCTGTGTGTATGTATGTATGTATGTATGTATGTATGTATGTATGTATGTATGTATGAAGGTATATATATATATGTATATGTATATGTATATGTATATGAATCAAATGTATATCTATATCTACGTATATCTATATGTATATGTAACATGTAACATGTAACATGTAACATGTATGTATGTATGTATGTATGTATGCATGCATGCATGTATGTATGTATGTATGTGTGCGTGTACGTATGTATGTATGCATGCATGCATGCATGTATGCATGTGTGCATGTAGGGATGTAGGGATGTAGGGATGTAGGGATGTAGGTATATAGGTATGTAGGTATGTAGGTATGTAGGTATGTATGTATGTATGTATGCATGCATGTATGTATGTATGTGTGCGTGTACGTATGTATGTATGTATGCATGCATGCATGCATGTATGCATGTGTGCACGTAGGGATGTAGGGATGTAGGGATGTAGGTATGCAATGTAGGTATATAGGTATGTAGGTATGTAGGTATGTATGTATGTATGTACGACACTATGATATATGAAAGTATGGATATATGAACACATGAATATTATATAGAATATATGGAACATATAGGTGTGGGTCGGTCCACAGCGACTACCAGCTAAAAAGCCACAGGGGAAACCACTTCGTGGGGACCCGGCTCCCAACCGGTGCAGCCCTGCGGCCTGAGCTTTGGTGTTTCTTGAGCCATGACAAACCCATATGCACAGTGTTTGCGCGTGTCATCCTTGCAGCAGGTGCCATGCTGTGATTTGCACGACTGCTGACATCACTGTTGTGGGTTCATGCCAACCGCACTCCCCCTTGGACGTTGCGTCCAACACCTATATGGCTTCTTTCAACCATTAAATGTCATCACTCAGTGCTTACGTACCCAATGGCAAAGGACTTTACGATGTAGTCCCTTCGGATCCATCTTCGTGGGCCCAGTCGAAAAAGTTGTAGGGCCACCCTCGTGGACCTCATTCAAAAAGCAGGCCACCGCACTCAGTACATGCGGGCATCTCGCGTCCCCCCAGGCGCTTCAGCGGGCAGTTCTCAGCAGCATGGTAGCACCCCGTACTGAAGTACAGTACCTGCCATGGCTGCAGCCCAACTGAGCACCGAGGACACCCCGTGTGGCGTTGATTTTGCGGGCACACCGCAGCTTACCGCAGGTCCTTCTGCGATGATACACGGTTCCAGTTGGCGCGGTGTACACCATAGGGCCAGGTGGTCCATCTTCGGGTTCACCAGGTTGGCTGGTCCAAGTTCAGGGCCAGGTTCAACTGGATCACCTCCTTGGCCACCATCTGATTCCATTGGATCAATTTCAGATCCTGCTACCTCAGGGTCGACGAGGTCGTCCTCGTCCATCACATCTCCTTGAAGGTGCTGTTCATCTTCTCCAGGACGTACAGGGCCTCCATGAAGATCACCAGGTGGATCACCGTGAGGTTCAGCTTCTCCATCATCCACCCGTAGTTTGTCCAGCACCTTTTCCAGCTCGCCCTTCCAGCCATGCAGATGGTGGTGCCTTATAGGCCCTGGCTCAGTGGGCCACACTGGATCTCCCCGTGGTGCCGTCAGATCATCATGATCATCACCGGTCGACCTCTTCATCCTCCTCGTCCACGGTCGGAAGCGTCGGATCTGGATCTACTTCTTCCTCCTCCTCCTCCTCTTGACGTGGATCTTCTCCCAGAGAAGGCTCATACGGAGAGTCGTATGGCGTATGGCTCTCCATCCAAAAACGGAAAGTCATCATCGCCAGCACCAAAGTCGATCGTGCCAGGCGTAGCAGGTGCAGCGGGCACTGCAGAAGCCTGCGTCCAGGTAGTAGACCTCCGAGGCGGTGTGAAGCGTCTCCAGCCCTCGCCAGGCCTTTGTATGCCCCACAGACATCCGCGGCCCTTACCTTTGTCCTTCCCCTTGATGCCACCTTTTCGCTCCAACCTCAAGATGTGAGGTGGTACCCATTCTTCTTGTGTGGAGCCTTCACTGAACTCCTCTGAGTCCGTGAAGTAGTGAGAACCATCCGGACCAGGATCATCTTGATCTCCTTGTTGATCTAATCTGGTCCTTCATCGGCCCAGATCCCACGAGCGTCGTCTGGCTCCCATTCGGTCACCTGCATCTCCCACAGTGAAGAGCGACCCTCAGGGTTTCTGGGTGGCCCTCCATCGACGCCGATGCCGTAGAAGGTCTCCTCCTTCTCAATGGACCTTGTGGCCCAAACATCGTTGTGGTACTCGTCCACCTCCTCATCAGTCGATGGTCTTCCACTGGGTGTTTCCCGGGGAATTTTCCTTCACCTTTTCCTTCATCTTTTCCACCGTAGCCCCCATTTTCAGGTACTTCTCATTCCGGTGATGGTGAAGTCCCCGGCAGAGCGGCCAAGATGTTGCGAAGTTGGCCAGCCTGCCACCGAATCCTTTCAAAGGCTCTCGCCAGCATCGCTCCCAAGCCCATCGCTAGGACGCTGTAGCCCACGAAGCCGAGCACCATCAAGACGTCCATGACGTAGTCCCAGCCACCATCATCACCACCGGGTTCGGCTTTCACCCCAGCAGGGAGGCACATGGCGACCACTACAGGACCCATCCACCCAGACTTAGAAACAATATGAAACCATACCCTTTGGGGAATGCCGGTCAGCACTGCGAAGAGGTTCTGTGTCTCGACTCGCTCAGTGCACACCTCACAGTGCTTCTTCCACTTGTCATTCACCTGTTCCAAAAGCTTTTTGTTCCTCACTCCAATCATGTAGAGGTTCTCCGGCTGGGTCTTCCGGGTCAGGAAATTCATCACCAAGTTCTGGGACTGATTGAAGAGGATCGGACATCCATTCACCGATGGATTCCTCCGGAGGCACCTGTAGCCCTTGGCTTCCCTGAGCTCCATGTTCAGGTCCATCACCAAGTCGTGGGCCATCTCCCCCCTTTTTTCATCCTCACCATCACCAGGACGTACTTTATCACCATGTTCTTCGGCACGACGTAGATCTTGATCACCACCATGGTCACCTTCACCACGAGGTTTCTCCACGACGAGTTGCCGTGAAGCCAGCGGCACCGGAACAGTAGCCACCATCATGTACTTGGCCTTGTGCCCAGTTCCCAGGCGTGTACCCTTGACATATGGGCCGGTCAAATCAACCGAGAGGACATAGACCGATTCTCCACCTACCCCCTTTTGGCGACGATGTGGATGGTCCTGCCCCATTTCTTCAACACAGAGTCGACAGTCACGGCGAAAGGGCACGTGACCTTGGCGTACATGCTGGTGCCAATAATCTAAAGACTGTGTTTCCTCAGTTTCACATCAGATCTAAGACGCTCCTCAATGGCCACTTTGACGGCCGATACCAGGCCTGGAGCGCATGTTGACCATGCAACTGTTTGATGCATACGTTGAGGTAGGTCAGCATGTAGAGGTTCAGACTTCTCAAGGGCCTGCCTCATGCCATCCAGCTCCTTCATGCGCATCAGACTCGTCAGAATCGTAGTTGGTTTCCGTCTGACCTGCCCACAACAACCTTGGTCAAATGACACCATAGCCAAACCATTTCGTTGTGCGAAGCCTCGCAACTCCGTCCAGTTCCACACTGACGGCAATTCTTTTGAGTCCTGAAAATAGTCTTCAGGGCCGGCTGGATGCCTTGATTTGACCATAACCATTTTCATTTCGCCTTTCGTCACCATGCCTGAGAGCTGCAGCCTTGACGACCTCCTTCTTCTTAGTGTCCGCCGCCTTCACCATCGTCGACGTCATAGAAGACGGAGCTGTAGCCAGCGCCAACTGCTCAGCTTCAGCCTGCAATGCCTCCACAAACTCCGTAACCTTGGTGTTCGGGGGCAAGAAGTCCAGCTTCAGATCCTGTCGGAATGTAGCCAGACGGCATACCAGCTGAGGGCCTCCAAGGCGTCCAAGCTTAGTCAGCACTCTCACCAAGACCAAAGCATCCGGTAGTTGAACTCCAAGTTCACCGCTTCTACCAAGATTCCTCCTCCAAACCCTCAGCGATTGGCACTCAGCCTGTTTTCGGCGATATCCTTCAGGAGCATCGTTTTCCTGTGGACACCACCCGGCTGATACCGACACAACAACGCACAAAGATCGCGGCCAAGAGCATAGTGACTGCACGTTGCTCCGTGCGCGGTCACTTTGACAGCTCAAGCGGACCCCACCTTGAGTCTCAACATCTCCAAAGGGGTTGATGCAGTCCACTGCGCGGAGGCCTCTGTGGCAGCACCACGGACCAGAGCCCACCATCGTGTCAAAGGCTCACCCATCATTGGAACAGCCGCTGCAGGAGCACCTCCTTGACCAAGAGGATCATGAGGAGGAAGTCCACCAGCACCACACGGTCCTGTAGACCTTCCCTGCCACACAGTCCCTTGCTGGCCCATTTGCATACCTGAGGCCGGTGTCTGTGGTATTCCACGTGGCGTGAGAAGATGGCTCTGAGCCACTGCTACCCCATCCCCCACCACACTCTGAAACGAACCACTTCCCCCACTAGCCCCTTCTTTACGTTTCAACATGTCTCTAAGGGGTTGGGTTTCTAAGTCCCTTAACCCCTGAAGCTTCAAGGCTTCCAATTCCAAAAGATCTTTGTCGGTTAAACCATTTTGAGTTGTCACCTGTTCTCCTGACGGTAGTGCTTGGTGAGGACCACCGTGAAATCCTTCTGTAGAACCCCTTTGATTTCCATCACGAAGACGGCCAACTTCACTGCGCTGCCCTCCTGCACGTAGTGGATCACTTCCACTCCTCACCATAGCTTGAACCCCTGGGCTCCAAAATGGGCCAACCTGTGGGTGTGTCTCCCTGTTGCTCAGGCGACAAACCCTCCATCACCCCGTTGGCATCTGCTGGCCTTCTCCTTGGGCCACAGCCTCAGCTCTCTGGGCTCCACCTTCCCCTGGCGCAGTCACCCCCACCGACCTCACAGAAGGAGTCGGATCCTCAAAGTCTTCCAGAAGATCCTGCATCATCTCCTCGGCTAATCTTTCATCACCTTCAGCAGCTCCGGCGTCGACGTCGGAGCGTGGTCATGGCGTTGGGCTCATAACCTGTGGGTCGGCCCACAGCGACTACCAGCTAAAAGCAAAAGGGGAAACCACTTCGTGGGGACCCAACTCCCAACCGGTGCGGCCCTGTGCCTGAGCTTTGGTTTTTCTTGAGCCATGAAAAATCCATATGCACAGTGTTTGTGCGTGTCATCCTTGCAGCAGGTGCCAGCTGATTCACTGTTGTGGGTTCATGCCAGCCGCGGTAGAATATATAGAATATATGGAATAGATTAGATAGAATATATAGAATGTAGGTGCGTGCATCTATGGTCATTACCCATATTTTTGCAAGTATATTTGTATATACAAATGCAAATCCGTATGCACATATTTATGCAGACGGATCTTTTACCGTGGTTCGGCGTGTGGTGTGGTGGGGTGGGGCATTAATGTCATGCATACGCATGTTCATAAATTATTGACTTTAACATAACATCTCCATTCCTTTTTAGCATGTGTATACTTGTTACAGCTCACACAGGCGGTGTAGATCAGTACTGGAGAAATGTACTTCCTTGGAAATACATCAGGTCTGACCAGTAGAGGTGGGTGAGAATGGCCAAGACAACGCCTTAAGACAGATGATGGCGCAACATGGTGCGCAGCAAAGATCAACGTTAGCCAGCGCGCTGCGTTGTGGGAGCCAAAATGCTGGAAGGGTTAACTACCCCAAGAAAACGATAAAAATCTATGATGTATTTTCTACAACTAAAATCAACATTTCGCTTGACAAAACAACGATTTTTAAATATGCGTGGGACGGTGAAGGATCCTTTGGGATATTTATGCACCTGATCTGTCTGTATGTATACCTGGATTACCTTTATGTCTATACGTGCGCGTACGCGTATGTATGACAAATATGGATTTACATGATTTACAAATTGTGACAATTTGAGTCACTGGAGTTATTCAAAATTTCTGGGGGGTGCTCTGAAGATGTTCTTGGCTATTCAAAAGTATCCAGCCAACAATCTTAAACAACACAAGCGAAACTTGAACAAATCACAAACCGATGGGTGTGAGTTGAACAGTGCTGTGCAAGAATTTGCTCAGTCATGGCTCTTAACTAAGCACGCCGCACATCCACGCGATGTCAAATCATTCTTCACTTCATACTTCAGCAACCACTTGTTTTTTCTTTGAAGACTCTATCTCGGGTCAAGCGTTTTATCCTCTCAAACGACATACAAAAATTACAGATAATTATAGAATGTGATTCCACTTTCGGGCAATGTTCAACTACAACATGCTACAATGTATACAAGCTCTTGGGTTACTTCGCTTGTTGTTTCGCTTGTAGGTTTTAAGTCCCTTTCAGTCCCTTGCAGTCCCTTGACACCTCAAAGATTTAACCCAGGACTTCTTGCCTCCTCCTTGGAGAAGCCTTCATTGGAACGGATGTAAGCCAGCACATGGACGCAGTCCTGGACTCATCAGACAGACTCATCAGTCACACCAATGCTAAGGTATTCGTGATGGCTATCAGAAAAAATGTGTACATAAGACATAAGCTATAAGAATATCCGCAATGAATAATGGTCTTTGTTGCCCTGACCTGGTCCTCTTGGCAGTGATTCAGCTTAGGATCAAGGCAAACGTTGTGCTTCAAAATTAGTAGCAGCTGTAGCAGTAGCATGCAGTGGCCAATGTTCAACATGGAACTCACGGCTCTTTCCAGGTCGCAGGGCGAACACCCCAAAGCAGTTGCCACAAATTCTTTCTAGGGCACACAGGACACATAGGGCACAACAGGGCACAACAGGGCACAACAGGGCATCTTTACGGTTTGCAGATCGGTTTTAATCTCGGTGTTGAGCACTGCTCTATGCGCTGGTCTCCCTGGTGTATTGGCACTTGGAGAGCATCGCCTTGCCATGACCCCTCCCGAAGCTTTCGGCATGCACTGAACTCAGATGGTAAATATCCTTCTTGCCTCATCAACCGATTATATAGTCTCCAGCCCGTCTGGTCACTAGCCTCCAAAAACCGGATTGTGAAGCCAACTATACACGGATGCCACTACTGAAATACTATCCTGGAATCTTCAGGATGTACTTTGAGCTGCTGGTCTGCTGGTCACAATGGGCAAGGACAATGCCTGGACTTGCGAAACACAGATTGCTTATCAAATTGCGGCCTCCAGAGATCCCCCCAAAGTAATTACTGGATTCCGATGGGATCTGAGCCAGTCCTCAAAAATGATGCCATCTTCCACTCCAGCTGGGAAGAGACCATGTACTGCTTCTTCGATCACCTTGCTGCGCAATGCTCCCATGAATCAGCAAGCAATTCAATTGTACCGTTGTCTTGGCTCAGCAAGGATTTAACAAAGAATGCGCTTCTTCATGTGAACCAGGCTTGAGCATGTGAATAATTGTGTGTTCAATGTGTATTGATTGTATTGCATTTGTTCGTTTCTGTATTGAGGTAGCTTGACAATGCGCATCACGATGCTTGACAATGTCTCGGTGCCAAGGATGCCGAGGATTGTGCTGAAGAATGTATGGTGTAACCCAACCTCAAGGCACGGCTCCATCGTGGGCTGCGGCGCCGGCATAGCCACCACACTTTGGGACAACACCGATCGCAATGTGTTATTCATAATTATTCTTTACACATACCTTGTGTCAATCAAAGATGGTGATTCTCCTGCACACTAAGCAGGCGTCGCAAAGTTTATTCCATAAATTTTCCAAGCGATGTTAAAAGTGTGTTTCAAGTACTCCAACGGCACTGCAGCATCAATCCCCAACAAGCTGCTTGAAGAAAAGCTCCGACAACTCGTGCCTGAGCAAACGCAGAAGGGAAAAAGCGCCCATATCAACTTGGGATGTAGCAGCTGTACGCAGCTGTAGCAAGACTTCTTTTGACGACAATCCCTTCAGCACAACAACAGCTTGAAAAAGTAGGAGCCCCAGCCCTGTTGGCTGGCCTTTGAAGTTTAGAGCTCGTTGAATATGTTGAATTGAATTTAGCTAAGCCACATGTCCAGGAATCCAGAGTCGTCATCATCCATGGCAGAAAACAAAGCCCGGAATTCTTCGATCTCCTCTTCGGCCACGCAGCGCATGATGCGGAGGAACTCCGGCCGGGAGATGCTCTGGATGGACTGCACAAAGATGCACAAAGCACTCGCGGAAAATCCGCAGAAGTTGGACAAAGTGAAGCAAGCTTTACTCAACCCATCTTTAATTGAAGCACTTTTGGAAGTCTATCACGGGCCTTCTCCAGGTATCTCTCAATAATGTCCCTTGCTTCAGCGATGCTCGTGGGGTGCCCACACCTGAGTGATGAGGCTTCTGTTCGGTTGCTGCCCTGGTTATGAAAGCAAATTAGCAAGAGAACCAGGTGATGCACTGGAGAGGAACAACTAATAACTAATATGCCTGCGGTTGGGGACAACATGGGGCAACCACAGTTGGCTCAGGCAGAAGGGGTATACGGCTCTTGCAGCCGATCAAAATTAAGCCAGGCACCATCCCAAAGCACCTGCAAGTTCATCGGCAGAGAGCTCACCTTGCACCGTGAGGGGAAAAAAAAACATTGTTGGCCCAAGGCACATCAAGACAACGAATTGAAACACCTCATAGGCTTCAAATGGCAAAGGCACAGGTCGCCTCGTCTCGATATCAGGAAACATATGTACAATTAGGAATCTATATGCATACATGCATATAGATAGATAGATAGATAGATAGATAGATAGATAGATAGATAGATAGATAGATAGATAGATAGATAGATAGATAGTGTATATATATGTGTATATATATATGTGTATATATATGTGTGTGTGTGTGATTTAGCTTATTTATTTATATCTAGTTATTTATATACATTTATTTATGTATATTATATGTCTACTTATATAAATCTATTTATATTTGTTTATGTATTCACACACACACACACCCGCGCGCGCGTGCATTTCTTTGTACATTCATTTCTGCAGCTATTTGATTCATAACAGGAGGTCATGTCATCATTTACTTGTTCGAAGGAAGTTTAGAAGTCAAACTTCCGACAATATGGACAGATGAAAAGCAGCGATGGAAAGGGTCAGAGAGAAGAGGAGAGTAGAAGAGAGAAGATCAGAGAAGAGAAAGAGTCAGAAGAAAGAAGATGCAGATGCGCGAAAAGGTAGGAAAGTCGCGAAAACACTGTGTTTTTCCAATGATTTGTGGCTCCGGAGGGTCGAAAAGTCGGCTCGCTAAAGCGGCGGGTGCGGAGCCAGCTGGCCAGATGAGAGATGAAAAATTGCACGCCGTTGTGGCGCGAAGCACATTTCCAAGTCAAAATGTACAAAACACCTCAGCGTCGGACTACTTTTGGAAGTTGAGATGTCGAAAAAGTGCACGCCGTTGTGGCGCGAAGCACATTTCGAAGTCAAAATGCACAAAGCACCTCAGCGTCGGACTACTTTTTGGAAGTTGAGATGTCGAAAAAGTGCACGCCGTTGTGGCGCGAAGTACATTTCGAAGTCAGAATGTACAAAACACTTCAGTCTCGGACCACTTTTGGAAGTTGAGATGTCGAAAAAGTGCACGTCGTTGTGGCGCGAAGCATATTTCGAAGTCAAAATGTTAAAAACACCAGGGGTTCGGACCACTTTTGGACGTTGAGACGTCGTTCCGCGTGGCAGGTGCAAGGGACTGTGGATCTTGTCAAAAGTGAGCAAAACGTGAGGGTTTTGTAGCATTTTCAACTACAACCACCACTACACCACACTACACTCCAATACACTACACTACAACTACAACTACACCTTCACCACATTACGCTACACTACACTCCACTACACTCCACCACCCTACATTCAATTACATTCAATTACTCTCCATTACACTACACTACACTACACTGCACTTTGCTACACTGCACTACGCTACACTACATCCCACTACACGACATTACAATACATTACACTCCACTACACTCCACTGCACTACATTACACTACACTACACTACATTCCACTACACTACACTACATTACACTACACTACACTCCACTACGCTACACTACAACTACACTACACTACAACTACACTGCACTACATTACACTACACTACACTACATTCCATTACACTCCACTACACTACACTCAATTTCACTACACTACATTACACTACACTACACTACACTACATTCCACTACACTACACTACACTAACTACAACTACAACTACAACTACAGCTACCAGTAGTACCGCACAAGGCGGTGGCAAAAGTTTCAAAAATAGGAAACCAAGAGGAGAGATTGGTTGTTGTGAACCAGGGATGGCAGAGCGAATCCACTGATGGACCGAAAGGTGCTTGAGGTCTCCTCTCTTTCTCTGACTATCTACTTACCTACCAACCTATCTTCTATGTATCTATCTATCTATCGGTCTATCTATCTCTCTCTTTCTCTCTTTCATCTAATTACCTTCCTACCTATCTACCTATCTACCTATCTATCTATCTCTCTCTCTCTCTCTTTCATCTGTCTATCTGTCTAGCTGTCTACCTGTCTATCTATCTATCTATCTATCTATCTGTCTATCTGTCTATCTGTCTATCTGTCTATCTGTCTATCTGTCTCTCTGTCTATCTGTCTATCTGTCTATCTGTCTACCTGTCTATCTGTGGCGCAGGGTCATTCAGTGTAATGTAGTGTAGTGTAATGTAGTGGAGTGTAGTGGAATGTAGTGTAGTGTAGTGTAGTGTAGTGTAGTGTAATTTAGTGTAGTGAAGTGTAGTGGAGTGTATTGTAGTGGAGTGTAGTTGTGCAGTTGTAGTTGTAGTTGTAGTGTAGTGGAATGTAGTGTAGTGTAATGTAGTGAAGTGTAGATGACGGTAGTGTAGTGTAGTGAAATGAAGTGTAGTGTAGTGGGGTGTAGTGTAGTGTAATGTAGTGTAGTGTAGTGTATTTAATGTAGTGGAGTGTGGTGGAGTGTAGTGGAGTGTAGTGGAGTGTAGTTGTGTAGTTGTAGTTGTAGTGTTGTGTACTGTAGTGTAGTGTAGTGGAGAGTAGTGTGGTGGAGTGTAGTTTAGTGTAATGTTGTAGTGTAGTGTAGTGAAGCGAAGCGACATCTGAACCTCCAAAAGTGGTCCGAACCCCTAGTGTTTTTAACATTTTGACTTCGAAATGTGCTTCGTGCCACAACGGTGTGCACTTTTTCGACATCTGAGCCTCCAAAAGTGGTCCGAACCCCTAGTGGTTTTAACATGTTGACTTGGAAATGTGCTTCGCGCCACAACGGCGTGCACTTTTTCGACATCTGAGCCTCCAAAAGTGGTCCGAACCCCTGGTGTTTTTAACATTTTGACTTCCAAATGTGCTTCGCGCCACAACGGCGTGCACTTTTTCGACATCTCAACTTCCAAAGGTCGTCCGACACTGAGGTGCTTTGCGCATTTTAACTTCCAAATGTGCTTCGCGCCACAACAGCCTGCACTTTTTCATCTCTCATCTGGCCACCTGGCTCCGCACCCGCCGCTTTAGCGAGCCTACTTTTCGACCCTCCTTAGCTACAAATCATTGGAAAAACACAGTGAATCGCGACTTTCCTACCTTTTCGCGCATCTGCATCTTCTTTCTTCTGACTCTTTCTCTTCTGATCTTCTCTCTTCTAATCTTTCTCTTCTCTCTGTGTGTACTGCTCTGCTTTTCATCTGTCCATATTGTCGGAAGTTTGACTACAACTACAACTACAACAATACTACATTTACACTACGCTACACTACACTACACTCCACTACACTACGCTAAATAACACTGCACTACACCTACAACTACAACTCCAACTGCAACTGCAACTACAACAATACTACATTTACACTACGCTACAATACACTAAACTAACTACACTACACTCCACTACACTACGCTAAATAACGCTGCACTACACCTACAACTACAACTGCAACGGCAACTACAACAATACTACATTTACACTACGCTACACTACACTACACTCATTACACTACACTACACTACACTCCACTACACTACACTGAATAACACTGCGCTACATTACACTACACTACACTACATTCCATTACGCTCCACTACACTACACTCAATTTCAATACACTACATTACACTACACTACACTACATTCCACTACACTACACTACACTCATTACACTACACTACACTACATTACACTACGTCACACTAACTACAACTACAACTATATAAGACTACGCTACACTACGCTAATTACACCACACTGCACTACACGACAGAGAGAGAGAGATAGATGGATGCATAGATAGATAGGTGGGTAGGTAGGTAGATGGTCAGAGAAAGAGACAGAAAGAGAGAGAAAGAGAAGAGACCTCAACCACCTTTCGGTCATCAGTGGCTTCGCTCTGCCATCCGTGATTCACAACAACCAACCTCTCCTATAGGTTTCCTATTTTTGAAACTTCCGCCACCGCCTTGTGCGGTACTACTGGTACGTGTTCATTTCCGTTTGTATTTTATGCACATGTGCATCTGAATTTGAATGTATGCATGTATGTGCATTCGCAGATATAGCCAATAGTCATGCAAAGACATAGGACCATACACGGTCATAGTCATTCCGCTGGAGCCCTTGGCCATTTTGACTCCTATGTCTCTGCGGAGAAACAAAAGACAGAGCATAATAACACCTGAGTCCCACCCTGGACTGCGCCCAGGACACCGTGGACAAATTGAAATTTGACATGAGGCCTGACAAATCCGCATCATAGCGATCAAAGAGCGTGTAGAAGGCCTTACCACAGCAGGACACAACTGCAAAGTACCACGCTTGAGATTTCGCAGGACTGGAATGAATAGTAAGATTTTGCAACATCTTGAATCTTAAAGCTATTTACAAGTCATACCATGATATATCAAGCTACAGTGAATGCTTTAGTGGCGCCTCGTGACTAGTGACTAGAGCAAATGCTCCGCTCCCAGCCACAGAATTGATGCCATGCTAGGTAAAATGGGGCTTGTCGAAACCCTTCTTGCGGGACCTTGACAAGCATCCAAACCTCTGGGTGAATGTCCTTCTGCAACGAAATCCAGCTGGCCTTGACCTCGCTTCTTGAAAAACCAAAGCGATCGTAGACCTTGGCAATGCAAGCCGGTTCTCTTCTTGTGTGACGGTCAGACTATGATTCTGATGAGCCGGACCCCACTTCTCTCCGGTGTTCCTTTCATCCAGAGCGTTCGTTTCATATTGCCGCATGGTGCACCGATCAATTTCCACTGATGTGATCCTGGAAATCAAAGTGATTTCAAAAGCAGCTCAGGGCCCCCACTATCTTGAGTACGAGCTCAAACCTTACCATACCAAGAGCACGAATGAGCAGCAGCAATTGATCCACGAAAATTCTGGTGGAAAGCCAAACACCAAGAATGACTTCCAAAGCAACTGAATCCGACTGAATCCATTTGCAGCATGGACGGCATGGACGGCATGGACGGCATGGACGGCATGGACAGCAAGTGCCGATTGAATCCATTTGTGTTGGATTTTGCTGGTGCTGCGGCCCGAGCTCCTTGAGCTCAACAGATCCAGACTTGTCCTTGTCGACCTCTTCAAAGATTTCATCCAAGGTGTCCCTGCGGCGCTGCGGAATCAGAACGAAATTTCTGCCATCATTGCCATCATTGCCATCATTGCATATTATATATTTCTGTCATTGCTACATCCTCATTGCTTGACGGACCCTGATGCATGTCTTGGAAGAGCCTGTTCACTGAATAGCCCGTGTCCCACAATAATCTTCTCAGCTCTGCTTTGTCGATGGCTCCTGGCCAATCCAAAGTGTCAGCAAGCAAACATAAGAACGATATGAATAAAGACTTGAAAAGGATCAAAGGACCACACGAATAGTGCAGGTGGAATCTTGAACACTGCAAATATATAGTGTTGTCTGCAGGAGCGAGGTCAGTATATAGGTTGAGCCGGCATGTAGGACGGGAGAGCGAGGAAGTTGACCAAGAACCAAATCTTGCACAATTCAGAAACCCTTGTTTCCAAGTATCCATTCATGGCAATAACCTTAATCTTTGTGCGCATAAGCATCGGTACACAAATTTGAGTCATCGCCAGTTTTACGTAACTACTGGAAACTATTATCCTACTATCTTCACAAGTACTTAAATACCCATTGACTCAACAATACTTAACAAATATGTACAAATATCTAAGATTCGAGACTTTATAGTCGAGTATTAGGCGAGTGTGATGGTGTTCGCATGCCCCTCAGTTGACTTAGACGAACAGGACGGCTGATTAAATGTAGATTCTTAGATGGTCACCAAGACTCCAAGACTGTCACTGTTTCACCTATGCCGGGCCTGAGCCATCTTCGTCCAGCTGATTGAACTGGGCTTTGATCTGCTGCGCTCGATGAACCTCAAAGTGATGAATCACCTGGCGACAGCAAGAAGACAGGAAGAAACAGCAAAGTTTCGTGATGCTTTCCGATGCTTTCCAATCATCAAATGTCATCAAACTGTGCATCAAACAGCCAGTACATGCTCAAAAAGTCTATCAGCTCCTCCCTCGTGGTCAACTACCACATCAACAATCCCCTCAACATTCTCAAATAGAGCTGCGGCCCATATCCTTCTACCCTTCCAGGCAGGTGTCCACATACACAACCAAACATCTACACCATGTATGTAAGCCTATCGTAAATTATGGACCAACAACCACGACTACTAAATACAACCCCTTGTAAATTAAGTAGGAGTCTCATAGGTGCCCATTTTACAGATATAAAACGGTGATCTAAATACAATGTAATATGATAAACTAAAACCTCATGTCGTCTAATGTCGCATCATATAATATAAGTTGAATATCATATAACACAAATCAATGTATTATACCTAGTATAAAATAGCTTAATGCAATTGCAATGTAAAGTAACATAATATTTGTTTAATGCCAAAAAAGTTTAGACAGTACAGCATTCTATGTAATATACTTTTAATTCAAGATAGCTGTTTATTGAAAAAACGTGTATATATATAACTTGAAAACCGATATGATTGATATGATAGTGACATGGCCAAAATGATTTTAATATGATATCTGGTGTGATATAACACAAATGTATCATATATGATGTACGATATATGATGTATCATATATGACGTATGATACATTATTTGACCTGATATGATATGATATGATATGTACGTAGTGGCTGGTACTGCTCGTTTGCACTAGTGTTCATTCTTGGTCCTGGTTGTGCGAAGCCCCGCAACTGCCCATCATTGCAGCATGCCCAGCATGTGGTTTTGCCCTGGCGCACCACAGCAAACTCATCCAGAGCTAGCGGTTGGTCTGCAGAACTGCGATAGAGAAGGGTTTGCAAGGAATCCTCACGAAGCAGAGCTGGATGATTTTAGAAAATGTGTTCGTGGCGTTTTTGCTTTTGAAGCAAGCAAAGACCCCTCATGCAACAGGAACAATGGAGGGGACTAGCACCGAGCCAATCTCTGCCCTAGGCAAATCGAAGAGTGATACCAAATGCAACAAATATCCACAGCAAGCCAGAGGCATCAGATTGGGGATTGGGGGTGGCAGATACCATTTCCTTCCTTGGTAAAGCATTTGCTTCTTACATCTTCGGTAACTAGCGTACGATTCCGATATCTGGCCCTCCCATCTGCGCTGCTCCTCGATGCGCTTTGGATCTGGGCTCAAATAGCTTAGGGCTTCCAATGCTCGAGGGATACGATCAATGGGCAAACCTCACACGCAGCAAGGCACTATGTCGCAAGTTGGGCTGCTAGATAATGATGGAGCACTGTAATCGATTGGCTGGCCGCCTTCTAGTGGAGACACACGTCAATCTCTTGCGAAGCCAGGTGGCCGTTGCCGCTGTTGGGCGGATACTCCATTGATCCATGCGTTGCCTGCACCTTTGCATTTCGCGCTATTTCTCGAACCTGCGGCCAGCATGACAGCATGCTCTCTGATCCAAGAAGGAAAGTGCAAAAGGATGCAAAAGGTGAGTGTTGGCCCAGCCCTTCCATTTCAGTGTAGGCGTCGCATCTGCCATGACTCGCTTTGGCACTATTCACTCAGAGTTTCTTGTGCCTCTTTTTGCAAGGTCGGGTCCGGCTTGCTCCTTGGGCTACCTTCCTCCTCAACTTTCTCCTTCGGTGAAAAGGGCTGCCTGGAAACACGCTAAAACCTCACAGTCTCAGCATAAAGGTCATGCTATCTCATGCTTCCTTCTATATATATACTTCTCCTTGCTTCGTTTGGGGGGTTCCCCCAAGGAGGATGAAATGATAATTCTTCGAAAGCTCTAATAGCTTTCGCAATCCATACGCAAAGCATATCCGGCATATCATTTCTGGCTGTGAAGATCGGAGACAAATGAGGGCGATGGGGGGGCTATTGAGACACTTTTGTGGAATCCACTGGACTCAGCTGGACTCCGCTCCTCAACTCCTGGACGCTCATCCTCCTCTCGAGTGGCTGGACGGGTGCTCCTCGCGGGCATCGGGCCATGGCAAGAATCTCCCGACTGCGCAAGGAATGCAGTCTACAGTGTCTACAGTGTCTACAGTGTCTACAGTGTCTACAGCAATTCAATGCATCGCAAATCATGGCACGGTGTCCAAGCAACACAATGGTGATGTTGAACCCTTCACCCGAGCCACCCTTTCTTGAAGCCTTTCTATAGCCACCTGCCTGTTGGCACTGGTATAACAAACTAGCGCATGCCTCGGCACGCGAGACCAGCCCGCAAGGTCAAAACCACATACATCCACACATCCAAGCCTTGCACGTGTCTAGTCAGTCCTACATCAAGTTCATTCCGATTCATTCCTTTGCTTCTGAACCGTACATCCAGAAACAGCAATCCTGATGTCCAACTGCTTCGAACGCAGAAGGGCAGCTTTGCGGAAAACAGCCTGCCACGGCTGGAACAAAGCCTTTGTAATAATAATCAAGTAGAACCGTAGAACCCAGCAATATGTGCGTCCTTTCGCATTCTATCAACTTCTATGTCTTTGGTATCTTTCGCTATGCTTTCGACTTTGAATCACCTATCTGTCCTATGGGATCTCTGGTGAAGAATGCTAGATGATATGGTTCACCGCGTTTCACCCCACCGGTGGAAAAGCTCTTGGCAATTTGTGAGTTGACAGCTCAACGGAGCCTAGGCCTATAACAGAATGTCCATCATTCCGATCACCCCGCCTTGTTGACTCCAGGGGGATATTCAAGCGCCTGTCCACGTCTTACATGTACCACAAATAACCGTGGCTTAGATTAGATGACCTATGTGATTCAATGAGTTTAAATGAGATGCACGGTGAAGCAAATGCAATTGAATGTCGCACCATGTCGCACCATGTCGCACCATGTCGCAGCATGTCGCAGCACATTGCAGTCTTGGCTCGGACAGGGCAGTACCGCTGCCTTGGGCTTTTGCAGGGTTGCTTTCGGTCTTGGACGAAGCAAAGCGAACCTAGGCACGGCTGCATTTGCTGTGCAGCCGAACAGGTCTCCGTCCCTTGACCTGGTCGCCTATTCTCTGTGAGAAAAACACACTTCAACCGACTTCAACCTACACTCTTGGTACATCAATCTAATTCAGTCTATATATTATGAGATTCTGTGAGTGGTGGGTAAGTTCTAAGCGGTTGCCTCGCTGGTGGCTAGACCATGTGGTGGAACTGTTCAATGTCTACGGTACCGGATCTGATTCACCCATAGTATACTGAATACGTTCATTTGGCACCTTCTCCAACCCCACCCAACAGTCCAACCGCGGCCAGTGTTTCGTTCTGCTAAGCACATTGCTGATTCGAGACCAGCTTGCCATCATGAACCTCTGAAATTGAGAGCATTTATTCACAACAAATGACCTACTACTGGAATCCATTGAAGGTATCCAAAGAGAGTCAATCCGCAAAAGTAAAATGCTGAGTGAAAGAATTGTGCCTGGAACTCGTTCAACAAATTGCGATAGTTCATCCGAAGCTCCAGCAAAGCAGGTGCCCCCCTACCATCAAGAGATCAAGGCAAATTGTTCGAAGTTGGTTGGAAATCTACAGTATGTGAAGCTCTAGTGGCTTTGAAGCAATCTTATTTCACAGTTCCTTTCACATTTCCTTTTCACGTTTATGAGCCTCATATCCTGGAATGTTTGCACTCCAAACTCAGTCCAAAGCCCTGAAGCCTGGCATCGAGCTTCATTCTGGAGCCAAAAGTGCGCGACACGCCAATTGGAAGGCTTTCCCGATCCACAGTGGACAAGTCAATCCTCAGAACAAAGCTGGTCCTGTGATGCTCTCACTCGGCTGATGCCACAATGCACCTTTGATAACGGAAACCCTCTTAAAACTCTATAATTCGTATGCAAACGTTCAACTCAATAAAAGCCCCACAAGAAAAAGTGATGGAATCCTACCGAGCCATGCTGAGGACTCACTCCTTTAGAACAAAATCACGAATCAAAGCCCTTCGGCCCTTCCTCCTTGGCATAGATCTGCTTTTCGTTTTCTCGTTTTCTCTCCTGCACTCTTTCATCTCTTTCCTTCGCGCTTTACGATCTGGATCTCCAATCTTTACTGGCTGGCGGCTGGCGGACTCCGAGCACGTTGAACGGTCGCTTGCCAACAAACGACGTTTCATGGGCCAAAGGACCAAAAAACAAAAGGAATTGATAGGAATTGTAAATAGGTTTAATCAGTTCCCTAATTCCCTAAGTAAATCGAGTTTGTCTTCTCCAGCCTCAGCGCACTTTTTGCTTGTGAGAATTTACATGAATTTACAGCCTTCTAGATTGATTGCTGTGGCCTTGCATTCTGGCAAAAAACTGCTGTGTGCCAATTTGTGTGCTCAATTGTTCCGGACGCATTTGCAGTGGAGTGTTCGAATGTGTACAGTTCGCATCAAGTTTTGAGGGCAGCTTGACCAAGTCATGAAAGGATGGCGAACAAGGTGGGGTGATTGCCGGGCCACCAGAAATGCAAAATGTTGAAAGCCTTCCACCCGTGGGGAAGGCTCATACATTTGGCATAAGTATGCATCTTAGGGTGGGATTGATAATACTCAGATGCTTGATTGGAACAGCCCCCTGAAAGTACCAACTGCATCTGCAATGGAATCAGAAAATTCCATCACTCTAAGTCCCCAGCGAGGAAGTGTTCTGTGACAAACTTGCCAAGTGCGACTTACCTTGCAAATCTGTGTGTTTAAAGAAGAATGAGCGACACCCAACCTCTCAGCCTCTCGGCCTCTCAAGTCACAAAAACGTTTTTCAAAAACATAGCGAAATAGTTGTACTTTAAATTTTAAACAACGCATTGTCTTTCAAACGCCACTCAGGGCATCACTGTTCGTGGAAAGGGATGGTCCAGAGACGCTGCGATTCATTGGCATGTTTCTCAGAACCTCAAGTTTGCAGACTTGTTCAAAGTTCAAACAACCTTGTGGTGTTTTTCAACTGTCAAGGAATGAGAAATTCACAAACACCGGGTTGCGCAGCGCCCTCAATACGCAGGAATATAACCCGAGTAATCTAATAGAAACCAAAAAATGATGCGATGTCGTAATAATTTAATAATGCTGTATTGATGCCAACTGTTCGTGCTCATCTGTCGCTTTCCAATTCCCGCCTGCCTGCTTTGATCAACTGACCATGAGACAAAGCAAAATTGCGCTTAGTATGCAAACACCGCTGGTACCACAGGCTGGGCCTTCGTGAACCCAAAATGGGAAAACTTGAGCCACATCCGCATTCACCACAAAAAAAATTCTACTATAATAGCATGGTTTCGCCAATGGTTCTGCACATGCTACAAGGAAAGGAACACATTGCACTTCAACACCACCACCCAAACCACTCAACTTGGCTGAAACATAATCAGAACATGTCAGCGTTTGATACTTAAGTACAAGCAAAACAAAACCATAGAACACAGTGGGCGACATACTATGAATCAAAATCTGTGTTGGCCTCTGCTTCCGCTGCCACGGATTGTCAAAGACAACCTCAAGATTCAACGTACATCTACGGGAACGTCTAGCACCTTCACAAGCCATGCCTTTGTCCCCCCGGTACAGTAAGTTCTTCACGCACTTGGTGGAATTCCACGGCTCAAACCTTGGATAAAATCCGAAAACAAGCTGGCACCCATACCTAAAAAGGCCCAAATGCGCCCAAACGAACTGCAACCTTCAAACCCATTACAAAACCAGACACATTGCGCCCCACGGACCTACTGTATTTTGATTTTGTTTTCCTTGTCTCCTTCTCTCCTCCTTTCCGTTTGTTTTCCTTTCCTGTTTGCCATTTCTTGTCTCCTTCCTTGTTTCTTTCCCTCCCTCTCTCCCTCCTTCCTTTCCTTCCCTTCCCTTCCTTTCCAATTTTTCCCGTCCCCTTCCCCTTCCCGTCCATTCTGACTTCCTTTCCCTCTTTCTCTCTTTCTCTCTTTCTCTCTTTCCCTCTTGCCCTCATGCCCTCTTGCCCCCATACCCGTTTTCACTCTTTCACTCTTTCCCCATTTCCCTTCAATCCCTCCTTCCTTCCTTCCTTCCTTCCTTGCTTGCTTGCTTGCTTTCTTTCTGTTTTTCTTTCGTTCTTTCCTTCCTTTCCTTCCTTCCTTTCCCTCCCTCCTCCCTCCCTGCCTGCCTGCCTTCCTTCCTTCCTTCCTTGCTTGCTTGCTTGCTTCCTTGCTTCCTTGCTTCCTTGCTTGCTCGCTTCCTTCCTTGCTTCCTTGCTTCCTTGCTTCCTTGCTTGCTCGCTTGCTTCCTTGCTTCCTTGCTTCCTTGCTTCCTTCCCTTCCTTCCCTTCCCCTTCCCTTCCTTCCCTTCTGCCCTTCCTTCCCTTCCTTCCCTCCTTCCTTCCTTCTTCCCTTCCTTTCCTTCCTTCCCTTCCCTTCCCTTCCCTTCTTCCTTCCCTTCCTTCCCTTCCTTCCCTTCCTTCCCTTCCTTCCCGTCCTTCCCGTCCTTCCCGTCCTTCCCGTCCTTCCCGTCCTTCCCGTCCTTCCCGTCCTTCCCGTCCTTCCCGTCCTTCCCGTCCTGCCCGTCCTTCCCGTCCTGCCCGTCCTTCCCGTCCTGCCCGTCCTTCCCGTCCGTCCTTCCCGTCCTTCCCGTCCTTCCCGTCCTTCCTTCCTTCCTTCCTTCCTCCCTTCCTCGCTTCCTGGCTTCCTTGCTTCCTTTCCGTCCTTTCCTTCCTTTTCTTTCCGTTTCCTGTCCTTTTCCCTTTTCCCTTTGCCTGTCCCTTTTCCCTTTCCATTTCCCTTCCCTTCCGCCTCCTTCCTTCCTTGCTTGTTTTCTTTTTTTCTTTCTTTTGTTCTTTCTTTTCTTTTCTGTTCTGTTCTTTTCTTTTCTTCTCCCTTTCTGCCCTTCTTCACTTCTTCCCTGCTTCCCATTTGAATGTGGGATTGGCTTGTGTATATATAACACACTATGATATAACATTTCTTCCCTATTGGTACTGTATAACTCAAACCCAAAAACCTGGTTTTCCCCCAATGTTTTTTTCTATTTCTGGTTGTTTTCCATGTGCTGCACACGTTCTTGTAATTTCTCCGGTGCATGTTCAAGGTTTTTTTCGAAAGCTCCTGCGAATTCTTTTATATTTTTTTCACAAAGAACTGCTGCCAAAATCGACTCTTCACTTCATCGTTACATAACATCTCCCACTCCTACATCCTTTGCATCACCTACATCACCTACATCAACTTCCTCTACATCACATACACCACCCAAATCTGCCTACATCTCTCCTATATCCTTTGCATCACCTACGTCACATACACCATCTAAATCTCCTACATAACATACATGATCTACACCAACTTCAATCAACTTCAAGATCAACCTCGTCTACATTCACATACATCATCTACATCTCTACATCAACTTCATCTACAGCACATACATCATTTACATCAATCAATTTCAATCAACATCATCTACAGGTGCTTCAACGTCTACATATCTCCTACAAACTCCTCCGAAGTCACTTACTTTACACAGGAGTTGCTACACAGGCGATTCACTTGCATCTACACACCTACAGAATTCCTACTCCTCAAGTTCTTGTAAAAATTCCGTCTTTTGGGGGCAGAAGCAGCCAGGCCCTGTCCATAGAAACGCGCCCCTCTGCAAAGATCGCGCGCGTCGGACGCACAAATGCGCGGTGACATGAAAATTTTGTTTTTCTTCCACACACACTTTTTCTGCGCGAGGTCCAATGAGTCCCCCTTACTGTGCTTTTGGGTCGGCCGACTGTTTTTATACTGGCCAGTCTCCAGATGTGCTCAATCCAAAGTCCACAATTAGGATGGGGGTAGGCGGCTGTTGCCGAGGGGTGGTGGCGGGGTTTCCGCGAGGAGTTGGCTGACGGGTGGTGCGTTGCCATCAACATTGCTGTGGGTGGACAAGTTTTGGTCTTGGTCCAGGAGGGATGCTGCAAAAGACTGCATGGCCGCGTGGCGGAGCAGGGCTGACCATCTGGAAATGAGGGCTGCCATGACGGGTTGGAGGAGTGCTGGTGCTTGTCTGGCTTTGGACTGGGCAAGCAATCGAATGAAATTCGTGGTTTCGTGGCTCCAACGGCCGCCGGTTTCGAAAGCCAGGACGACCAGCCTGCAACGTCTGGACTGGAGAAATTCTGGGTAAGTGCGTTCCCTGCCTGCACGGCGGCGAGGCTGCCCGTCCTGTGTCAAAGGGGAGACAAGGGTGGTGTGGTGTCGATGGCCAGTTGAGCTCCGCCCCAAAGGTTTAGGCCATTGGCAATGACTTCGATGCGTCTGTCATCTTGACGGGTGACTTGTGCCAAGTTGAGGTCTGCCACCCTGGTGTTGGTTGTGCTTGCCCCTGCTTCTCTGCAGATCCCGGCGGCAGCCCGCTCGAGTGCCACCCCTCGACTGCGAAGAATCCCTGCCTGTGGGCAAGCGGCACGGTGGTCGCCAAGTAAGTCAAGAGCGCGACGGCACCGGCACTGGCGGGCAAACAAAGGA